CCGCAATGCCAACCAAAAGTGCCAGAATAAAAGATAAATGTAAATATGTGGCTTTGACATATTTATCATGAACCAAAAGTGCCAAAAAAAAAAAAAAAAAGATCACCAAAGCAGTAGAATTGGAACTTGAGGATCTGAAACTAAGCAACCTAGGTTTCCATAAAATGATTCCCGACATTTTGATGAATATTTTCTTTCTGTTAGCTAGGAGGCTAACCTGAAGACTAACTTTTTATCCAACTTGCTCTGGCTCTTATTGGCATTGAACAGTAAACTCCTGGTTTACTGTCAGCAGTTAGCATTTAGTTTGTTTTTATTATCTCTTTTTGACTGTTGCACTGAGCCAAAGCAATTTCCTAGTCTGTGACCTCCTGTTACTTACGTGGCAATAAAAATGATTCTGATTTTAGCATTAGCCTTTCAACAAACTGATTTTAGTCATATTCACCAGTTTTAACATATGTATAAAATGGGATTAAATGTAAAAACCACTTTCTTTCAATAAAACTAGTAATTTCATATTTCCCCTTGATTTGAATGGGAGCAGTCAAAATGACGGGTCTGGGAGTACTCAGTTTCCAGACTTCCAGTCCTAATGTTAAGCACTTTGAGTTGCTTTGTGTATGAACTGTGCTTTTTCAAATAAACTTGCCTTGCCTCATGATCATTTGCATAGAAAATATTACCATGGAGATGTCACACTGTATAGCTGGACGCGCCCCACAGCTTGAGAACCCCGGCAGTGTGGGAGGCAGAGGGACTTCACACCCGCTGCAGACCTTCCTGTCAGCTGTTCACGTTGGTTTTAGCTCCGGCCTAAAAACAATCACCACTTTTAACCATTTTGTTTCACACTTAAAGGTGACTGCGTGAACGGAGCCAGAGGCATTTCCTCAAACACACAGAGGAAGTTTAGAGACGCAATCTCGCCCAACTGTTGACCGCCGTCTGCATCCTGGCATTTTTTTTTAAGATGGAATAGAACCGAGCCTCTTGGTGGAGGTCTGTGCTCTACAAGAGATAGTTATTTATAGTTTTGGCCTTAAAGGCACACCGTGTAACTCTTGGCCACTAGGGGCGCTAGACCTGCAACTTTCACGTTTAGCGCCCCTAGTGGCCACAAGCAACTCAGCACTGTCGCAAAAGTCAACAAACAGTCAGCCGGTGTCTTTTGAGTGTGTATTCAGACAGCATGCACTGGTGTGTGTGTTCAAACTGTAGAGACATGCCTACAGATATTGAGAGACTCTGCTGTGGTCAGCCTCCAGACCGCTGCATTAGTAATCTACCACACATGGACTTCTATATCCTGGATGAGGGAGTTCTGCGTCTAGCTCGTGCTGCGTGGAATGACATCTTTGCAGTCGATGACATCCAGGAACCAGGTGAAGAGCAGCGCTCATACAGACATGCAGCTTACAGCACGATCCCTTTCGCGTTTCCTCTTTTTAGCCTCCTCCGAAGGTTTAAAATTTTTCCTTGCCTCAGCCATGACCAGGAGTCGAGCAGGTGAAAAATGAGTAGCAAAAGCCTTAGCTCCATGAGTATATCAGCGCCTGTAGCCGTAAAGCAAGTCTTTCTTCCAAGTCACGTGACCTGGTGGCAGACGGTCCGTCTGCTCGAAACTTACATGGGCGGTATTTCAAGAGGGCAGCCCCGCTCGGAGCATTGCAAGTGTCAAGCGCTGTATATTGGCCCAAGTATTCATATAAAATAACTCATATGTGTCAACTCTTTAGGTCACAAAGTCCGCGGTGTGCCTTTAATATAGGTCTATTATGCCAGAAAAACGAGTATGGGATTATATGGAGCCTCTCACAATGATGATTTTAGATTTTGAGATTAAGATTAAGATTAAAAGATTCTTTATTCGTCCCACTGTGGGGAAATTTCAGTGTTGCAACAATGGGAATGAGGGGTACACAGCACAAGATACATTAACAATTAACAATAACTCTATACTAAAATATAATAAAATCTCTCATTTTAGCCTAATAAATGTTGATTTACAGTCATTAACCGTGATCATTAATAACACAAATAATACAATATTACACATTTTATAACAATAAAAGCTAGCTGTGTTCAAAACGTTGAAGTAAGAAGGCCACTTTAGTTCACCAGACCTTTCCAGGGGCCAACACATATTTTAAATTGTAAAATGTTTTCAATAGTGTTTATGATTAATTATTTTGTGAAACATTTCAAACACATGTTATTGTCAATTGAACACAAAACCCGTTAATTTTTCTGTTTTTTTCTTAGAATATAAGACATTTTTATAGTATTCACAAAACTACATCCTGAATATGTTAGGGGTAAGGTCTGGTTTAAGGCTGATTAAGTAGTAAAATAAACTATACATGAAATTTTATGACATCCAATCCAAAAGAAATACCAAATGACTAATAAAGTTAAAAAAAAAAAAAAAAAGTGGATTCTAGAGGTTCTGGTCTCTACAAAGAGATGAAACTTGTCTACACCTTCTCTGTTCTTATTTAAACCTCACCACGCTGATCTGAAACTTCACCGTTTGCAAAGTCTATAAACCAGATAAATTGAACGTAAAACCGCCTTAAAGAACATCGGCGCGTTTCGACCGATAACTTCAGCCTTATCGCTTCTCTCTGGCGCCACTTTACGACACGAGACGGCGAGAAACGGGAAGAACTGAAGAGGAATACTGAAAACTGTGGACTTTCTGTGACAGCTTCAGCATCAGCGCCCACAATGAAACTTTTAAGAGGGGAGGGTTGTGCTGGAGAGGCCCATTAGGAATGCCCGTAACCTTTTTTTTATGTGCCTTTGCCAGACTCAGACAACAGCTGTTCACAAGCCACGACCCCTCGGCCATTTGGGAACAAACAACGGCTGCAGTCACACAACAATTACTTACAAAGTCAACAATCAATATCATCTTGTGTCTTTATTTACCATATTCCCATTGCTATTTCAGAATCTGATTTTTCAAGAGAGTCCAACAAAAGGCTCCATGTGTTTTGGTGGTAGGGGAAACCGAAGCACCTAGAGGAAACCACGGGGAAAACATGCAAACTCAACACAGAACGGTCATGTCTGGAGGTGGAATCGAACCCAGAACCTATTGAACCTAAGTGGGGATTTTTAATCATTTCAACAACAGAAGATTTATTCAGGCTTTCATGGTCGAATTAGAAAATGTTTGTCATGAAAATTCAGAATCGATCAAATTTATTTTTAAAAATAAATAAACCTTTGTTGTCCAAAAAGAGTATTTATAAGTAATTGCTGCGTTTTCTCAATTGTTGTCAACTCCTCTATCAATCAACTCCACACTCATGAAAGGTGAAACAAAAGTGTATCTTTCTTGGTTTTTTTTTCCACTCTCATGTTACTTTTTCAGCCATAAAATCCGATAATTACATATATTCAAGATTTAATTGTTGTTTTGTCATGGAGAAACAAGTTCTTCATATAACAACGTTTCTATAAATTGGTTTTGTGTTCAATTGACAATATGTTTGAAATATTTGTATCCAAACAGATCAGAATTCTAAAAAAAAATACAAAAAGTCAAAGGCAGAACACCACACCATTAATTATCAGGAAAGACTTTAAAACCACAAGGCCACAAATATTTGACAAGTTTGTTGATAGAAGCGACATAATTTAACTTCAAAAACGCAGCTTTAGACCCAACATGTATTTAATCATGAAAAAGACCAAAACTTGCACAAAAACTGTATTAAAAAAAGACAATTCAATGGGTTATAATTTTGTATTTATGTCAAAGTATAACCAAAGTCAAGACATGATTTAACAGTGCGAAAGAAAGTAAAGTTTCTTAAATACAAAATATATGATTTCACATTTGTACAAACATTTACAAGCTCATTTTAGTCAAAGTGGGAGGATATTTCAGTCTTAATTCAGAATGCAGCTATGGCATAGTCCCTCAATACAGCACTAAAGCATTGCCAATATTGTCCATTTTCTACATTTTAAGTTTTAATACAGCTTAAACTGCATTGACCAATTACTTATTATGCTGGTGATTTTCTGCCCTTGATACAATGAACAAGGCCTATAACTGACATCAAAGTGATAAGTTTTCAGTGGATTTGGTTTGACTTTTTTGAAGCAGCTCTGTAGTCATTGGTTATTATTAAAACTATAAAACACACAAGTTTGTTCTGATTGATCAACAAAGTGGCGTAATTTCAATAAATGATAAAAACGGTTGTTGTTTTCCTTCTACAGAGACACAATTTTAGTTCAAGTTATAGTCTAGAATCCATGGTTACTTAATTGCATGATCTTTAGTGTGTTATATGTATATTCTCAGGCCTTAAAGCTAAGCACCCAACTTTAAAATCAACAAAACAGACCTATCTATTAAAATATTAGTTCCTAGCTCATTACTCAACAGTGGGGTTCCATCACTAGTTTGTACATGCATGTATTTTTGGCCTTTCCACACAAAAAAGTGAAAAAGGAAGGACCACACTCACTCAGCCTATCAGCTCTTATCCCAAAGTGTCCAAATGTGACTCAGAGGGCTCATCCAGTACCAGCATACAAAAGATACAATGTTTTCTACCAAGATATAGACAGCATGGTGTGGCCTGACGATACTTTTACATGATCCTTTGTCTTGTGTTACTTATAAAACTAAAGTTAAGTACCCAAGCTCTAATGAAAAGCTATAATTATTCTGCACGATCGTCTTTGTGTCAGTGGCAAGAAATAGAAACATAATTATTGGTTATGGCAGCACATCTGAGGCAATATATTGTCCATTCATACAGAGAAAAAGACAACAAGTTCATTCATAGAAATAGTGTCCATTTTCCACGAGGGTTCATCGCAGAAAGACATGCATCAGTATCAAACTCAAACTTTGTGGGTTCATTTTCCAGTTTTGGCGATTTGCCCAATGTCTCTCCCACTGTTCAGTCTCATTTGCCGCCATTTTGACCAGTCAAAAGTATAGCAACAATAGACTATTTAGTGTCCCTTATTCACACCGCTGTCTCTCCACTTTTCGTATTCGTCAGCCTGGAGTAAAACCTATGCCAGGAGTGCAAAGTCTTCCCGGACCAAATCCAGAATCCGGACGTGATCCCGACAATGAGAGTCATCAGATATTTGATCATGTAAACGGTGAAATCGGGAGTCATGCGTGGCCCGCTGTGAAGTGGGCACGGGATCGCCAAAGACCTACAATTCTGACTTAGATACGTTTTCTCCCAATGCGGCCGGAAAGCTTGCTCGTAGAAGAAGCAGGCGATTACGATAGTCGCTGGGACCGTGTAGAGGACGCTGAAGACGCCAATTCGCACCATTAACCTCTCCAGCTTCTCCGTCTTGCTCCCGTCGTGTTTCATGATGGTGCGGATTCGGAAAAGCGAAACAAACCCGGCCAGTAGAAAAGAAGTTCCAATGAAGAGGTAGATAAACAGGGGCGCCAATACGAACCCGCGAAGAGGGTCGAGATTGCTGGAACTGACGTAGCAAACCCCGCTGAGAAGATCGCCTTCGATTTGCCCCATGGCTAAAATACTTATCGTCTTAATGGCGGGAACGGCCCAGGCAGCCAGGTGAAAGTACTGCGAGTTGGCTTCGATAGCTTCGTGACCCCACTTCATACCAGCAGCTAGGAACCAAGTCAACGAAAGAATAACCCACCAAATAGAGCTCGCCATACTGAAAAAATACAGCATCATGAACAGAATCGTGCAGCCTTCCTTCTTGGTGCCTTGGACTAAAGTTTTGTAGCTATCCGGGAAGAACGCCCCATTGCAGACCACACCATCTCCAAGGAAGTACCCAGCAATGTACGCGATAGATACCATTGTGTAGCATCCAGATAGGAAAATTATAGGTCTTTCCGGGTACCTGAAGCGTTGCATGTCAACTAAATAGGTACAAACTGTGAATAAAGTCGACGCACAGCAAATGACAGACCAAACCAATATCCACAAGCGGGAGAATTGGATCTCATTCTCAGTGAAAAACATATGGCCACCACCCTTTGTTGGCTCACATGGCGCACCGCAGTCATTGGCATCCATAAACTTGTAATTCAAATAAGGTGGGACTTTCAGGCTGTTGGGGCAGGTGAAGGGTAACTCGTGAGGGGGGAATATGTTGTGATCCACTGGGATTGGAGCGATGACAGGCAGAACCGTGGCTGGAGAGGAGTCGTTCTGCCCCACACAGATATTCCCGTCTCCTAACACTGGGAAGTTCTCGCAGCGCAGACGATCGGGCCACTGGAATCCAAACTTATTCATGAGAGCCTCGCACCCCTGCTTGGCACGCTCGCATATGGACCTGCATGGGGGGATAGCCTTCTCCAGAACAGTGCATACAGGCGCGTACATGGAGCAGAGGAAAAACTTTAACTCCGGAGAGCATTGCACTTTCACCAGCGGGTAGAACTGGTGCACCTCCAAGCCCGCGTCCTCTTGGTTGGTATGTCCCACCAGATTGGGCATTATGGTTTGGTTATACGCGATGTCCGTGCACAGAGGGATGGAAATAGGTTGACAAAATCCGTGTTCGGGTACCACCATTCCACTGTCGCCTTGCGCCAATACGCACAGAGGCTGGGAGAGCAGAGCGACGCACCAAACCAGGAGAAATGCCATCGCGGAGGAGTTTTACTTGAGGGAAAGAATTACGCTTCAGATTCTCTTAGATTTAAAAAAAGATGGGAAAAATAAAGGCTCAGAATTGGACGTCTAAAGCCAGTACAGATGTGGCCATACCTGCGCACGACTTCTTTGTACTTCTCTGCTCTCCACTTGTACTTTTTCCACACGCTCAGTGAAACTCCCATTTGGTCAGGTTTGCAGTGTTTACTCCCGACACTTCCGGGTTTTACCTACAAAATAATTGTGCATTTACAGCGTGTGATTTTATTTGATTATTTTCAGATGCATTTTTATATAATAATATTATACTTATTTGTGTGTTTTTTGTTTTGTTTTGTTCTTTTAGAGAGCGAACGGAATATGGTTTAAAACTGACTGAAGAATAGAAACACGTTTTATTTTGAAAGGTTCTCATGATTTTACCATAGACTGTCTATATTAAGATTATACAGACGTGACTAGGTTGAGACAAATGATTTACTGTTTACGTGTTTGAATTGTTTTTTCAAAGTATTACAATTTGGACTTTACTGAGTAGTTTTGAGTAGTTTTTGAATAAAGTTTCAGCTCTTTTTGAGTTTCAAGTATTCTGCCAGTGACAAAACCTGTTGATATTGTTACTATAGGAATACAACTTCTTGACATGGCACCACATACATGCAGATAACTTAACTTAGTTGTTTTAACCATTCACCTATTTCAGTTTTAAACAAATGCTTTTTTATTTTGTTTTTTTTACTAATAGAAACATACAAAAATAAGAGGAATCTGCTTTGAGAGCGGGAAAATGGTTTGAGGATTTGGTTAGATTTTGTCAATGCAAGAGGGTCTAAGGACAGTGATGATACGGGACATTTAAGGACATTTATGGTCAGTGGTTATCCTACTCCTTATGGACCAATGACCCCTAAGAGTTTGTTATTATTACGTTTTCTCAGTTTCATTCTCTTTGCAAATCGACAACTTTGTATTGTCTTCCGAGACGACCTCTGTTGTTTTATAGCTCTATGCAAAAATAAAGTTATAGCTCTACAGCAGATCAACATATCATGGGAACTTTAAATGTATTCGATAGATTGCCCAAATAATTGAGACAAATTACCAACAAACACATTGCATTTCAAGGAATGAGTATAAACCTGGTATGGCAAGTTTATTGAAACAGCACAGGGCAAGTCAACGTGCTTTAAAAAACAAGAAAGAAAACAATAAAATCAAAAATTAAGTCATTCATTTAAAATAATACGTTTTAACATTGTTCCGTGGTATGCAAGTAAAAAATGTGTTTGATTTTAAGTTAGATGCTGAAATCATTTTAGTTCATGAAATCTTGTTCCGATCAAATTAGTAATTTTTTTGTAGATTATCACAGATTCAGTGGGAGCAGTGGAGTTGTTTTCAAGAGAGCGAACCGAATATGGTTTAAAACTGAATGAAGAATATAGAAACACGTTTTATTTTGAAAGATTCTCATGATTTCACAGGTGACTAGGTTTATTAAACAGACATGTAATTAAATATTTACATATTTGATCCCAACAGCAAGTCAATAAACATACATAATAGCAGATTATTACAGGTTCAGGGGACAGTAGGAGCCATGGGAGCAGTGGGAGCAGTGGAACCAGTGGGAGCAGTGGAAGCAGTGGAAGCAGTGGAAGCAGTGGGAGCAGTGGGAGCAGTGGAAGCAGTGGAAGCAGTGGAAGCAGTGGAAGCAGTGGGAGCAGTGAGCAGTGGAAGCAGTGGGAGCAGTGGAAGCAGTGGAAGCAGTGGGAGCAGTGGAAGCAGTGGGAGCAGTGGAAGCAGTGGGAGCAGTGGAAGCAGTGGAAGCAGTGGGAGCAGTGGAAGCAGTGGGAAAAGTGGAAGCAGTGGGAGCAGTGGAAGCAGTGGAAGCAGTGGGAGCAGTGGAAGCAGTGGGAGCAGTGAGCAGTGGAAGCAGTGGAAGCAGTGGGAGCAGTGGGACCAGTGGGAGCAGTGGGAGCAGTGAGCAGTGGGAGCAGAGGAAGCAGTGGGAGCAGTGGGAGCAGTGGGAGCAGTGGAAGCAGTGGGAGCAGTGGGAGCAGTGGGAGCAGTGGGAGCAGTGGGAGCAGTGGGAGCAATGGAAGCAGTGGGAGCAGTGGGAGCAGTGGGAGCAGTGGGACCAGTGGAAGCAGTGGGAGCAGTGGGAGCAGTGGGAGCAGTGGAGCAGTGGAGCAGTGGGAGCAGTGGAAGCAGTGGAAGCAGTGGAAGCAGTGGAAGCAGTGGAAGCAAGCAGTGGAAGCAGTGGGAGCAGTGGAAGCAGTGGAAGCAGTGGAAGCAGTGGGAGCAGTGGAAGCAGTGGAAGCAGTGAGCATGGAGCAGTGGAGCAGTGGGAGCAGTGGAAGCAGTGGGAGCAGTGGAAGCAGTGGGAGCAGTGGGAGCAGTGGAAGCAGTGGGAGCAGTGAGCAGTGGGAGCAGTGGAAGCGTGGGAGCAGTGGAAGCAGTGGGAGGAGTGGAAGCAGTGGGAGCAGTGAGCAGTGGAAGCACTGGAAGCAGTGGAAGCAGTGGAAGCAGTGGAGCAGTGGAGCAGTGGAGCAGTGGAAGCAGTGGAAGCAGTGGAAGCAGTGGAAGCAGTGGGAGCAGTGGGAGCAGTGGAAGCAGTGGGAGCAGTGGAAGCAGTGGAAGCAGTGGGAGCAGTGGAAGCAGTGGGAGCAGTGGAAGCAGTGGGAGCAGTGGAAGCAGTGGAAGCAGTGGGAGCAGTGGGAGCAGTGGAAGCAGTGGGAGCAGTGAGCAGTGGAAGCAGTGGAAGCAGTGGGAGCAGTGGGACCAGTGGGAGCAGTGGGAGCAGTGAGCAGTGGGAGCAGTGGAAGCAGTGGGAGCAGTGGAAGCAGTGGGAGCAGTGGAAGCAGTGGGAGCAGTGGGAGCAGTGGGAGCAGTGGGAGCAGTGGAAGCAGTGGGAGCAGTGGGAGCAGTGGGAGCAGTGGGAGCAGTGGGAGCAGTGGGACCAGTGGAAGCAGTGGGAGCAGTGGGAGCAGTGGAAGCAGTGGGAGCAGTGGAAGCAGTGGGAGCAGTGGAAGCAGTGGAAGCAGTGGGAGCAGTGGAAGCAGTGGGAGCAGTGAGCAGTGGGAGCAGTGGAAGCAGTGGGAGCAGTGAGCAGTGGGAGCAGTGGAAGCAGTGGGAGCAGTGGAAGCAGTGGGAGGAGTGGAAGCAGTGGGAGCAGTGAGCAGTGGAAGCACTGGAAGCAGTGGAAGCAGTGGAAGCAGTGGGAGCAGTGGGAGCAGTGGAAGCAGTGGAAGCAGTGGAAGCAGTGGGAGCAGTGGGAGCAGTGGAAGCAGTGGGAGCAGTGGAAGCAGTGGAAGCAGTGGGAGCAGTGGAAGCAGTGGGAGCAGTGGAAGCAGTGGGAGCAGTGGAAGCAGTGGAAGCAGTGGGAGCAGTGGAAGCAGTGGGAGCAGTGAGCAGTGGAAGCAGTGGAAGCAGTGGGAGCAGTGGGACCAGTGGGAGCAGTGGGAGCAGTGAGCAGTGGGAGCAGTGGAAGCAGTGGGAGCAGTGAGCAGTGGAAGCAGTGGAAGCAGTGGGAGCAGTGGGACCAGTGGGAGCAGTGGGAGCAGTGAGCAGTGGGAGCAGAGGAAGCAGTGGGAGCATGGGTGGGAGCAGTGGGAGCAGTGGAAGCAGTGGGAGCAGTGGGAGCAGTGGGAGCAGTGGGAGCAGTGGGAGCAGTGGGAGCAATGGAAGCAGTGGGAGAGCAGTGGAGAGCAGTGGGAGCAGTGGGGAGCAGTGGGAGCAGTGGGAGCAGTGGGAGCAGTGGGAGCAGTGGAGCAGTGGAAGCAGTGGAAGCAGTGGAAGCAGTGGAAGCAGTGGAAGCAGTGGAAGCAGTGGGAGCAGTGGAAGCAGTGGAAGCAGTGGGAGCAGTGGAAGCAGTGGAAGCAGTGGAAGCAGTGGGAGCAGTGGAAGCAGTGGAAGCAGTGGGAGCAGTGAGCAGTGGGAGCAGTGGAAGCAGTGGGAGCAGTGGAAGCAGTGGGAGCAGTGGGAGCAGTGGAAGCAGTGGGAGCAGTGAGCAGTGGGAGCAGTGGAAGCAGTGGGAGCAGTGGAAGCAGTGGGAGGAGTGGAAGCAGTGGGAGCAGTGAGCAGTGGAAGCACTGGAAGCAGTGGAAGCAGTGGAAGCAGTGGGAGCAGTGGGAGCAGTGGAAGCAGTGGAAGCAGTGGAAGCAGTGGAAGCAGTGGAAGCAGTGGGAGCAGTGGGAGCAGTGGAAGCAGTGGGAGCAGTGGAAGCAGTGGAAGCAGTGGGAGCAGTGGAAGCAGTGGGAGCAGTGGAAGCAGTGGGAGCAGTGGAAGCAGTGGAAGCAGTGGGAGCAGTGGGAGCAGTGGAAGCAGTGGGAGCAGTGAGCAGTGGAAGCAGTGGAAGCAGTGGGAGCAGTGGGACCAGTGGGAGCAGTGGGAGCAGTGAGCAGTGGGAGCAGTGGAAGCAGTGGGAGCAGTGGAAGCAGTGGGAGCAGTGGAAGCAGTGGGAGCAGTGGGAGCAGTGGGAGCAGTGGGAGCAGTGGAAGCAGTGGGAGCAGTGGGAGCAGTGGGAGCAGTGGGAGCAGTGGGAGCAGTGGGACCAGTGGAAGCAGTGGGAGCAGTGGGAGCAGTGGAAGCAGTGGGAGCAGTGGAAGCAGTGGGAGCAGTGGAAGCAGTGGAAGCAGTGGGAGCAGTGGAAGCAGTGGGAGCAGTGAGCAGTGGGAGCAGTGGAAGCAGTGGGAGCAGTGAGCAGTGGGAGCAGTGGAAGCAGTGGGAGCAGTGGAAGCAGTGGGAGGAGTGGAAGCAGTGGGAGCAGTGAGCAGTGGAAGCACTGGAAGCAGTGGAAGCAGTGGAAGCAGTGGGAGCAGTGGGAGCAGTGGAAGCAGTGGAAGCAGTGGAAGCAGTGGGAGCAGTGGGAGCAGTGGAAGCAGTGGGAGCAGTGGAAGCAGTGGAAGCAGTGGGAGCAGTGGAAGCAGTGGGAGCAGTGGAAGCAGTGGGAGCAGTGGAAGCAGTGGAAGCAGTGGGAGCAGTGGAAGCAGTGGGAGCAGTGAGCAGTGGAAGCAGTGGAAGCAGTGGGAGCAGTGGGACCAGTGGGAGCAGTGGGAGCAGTGAGCAGTGGGAGCAGTGGAAGCAGTGGGAGCAGTGGAAGCAGTGGGAGCAGTGGGAGCAGTGGGAGCAGTGGGAGCAGTGGAAGCAGTGGGAGCAGTGGGAGCAGTGGGACCAGTGGAAGCAGTGGGAGCAGTGGGAGCAGTGGGAGCAGTGGGAGCAGTGGGAGCAGTGGGAGCAGTGGAAGCAGTGGAAGCAGTGGGAGGAGTGGAAGCAGTGGGAGCAGTGGAAGCAGTGGAAGCAGTGGGAGCAGTGGGAGCAGTGGGAGCAGTGGAAGCAGTGGGAGCAGTGGGAGCAGTGGAAGCAGTGGAAGCAGTGGGAGGAGTGGAAGCAGTGGGAGCAGTGGAAGCAGTGGAAGCAGTGGGAGCAGTGGGAGCAGTGGAAGCAGTGGGAGCAGTGGAAGCAGTGGGAGCAGTGGGAGCAGTGGAAGCAGTGGGAGCAGTGGAAGCAGTGGGAGCAGTGGAAGCAGTGGGAGCAGTGGAAGCAGTGGAAGCAGTGGGAGCAGTGGAAGCAGTGGGAGCAGTGGAAGCAGTGGGAGCAGTGGGAGCCGTGGGAGCAGTGGGAGCAGTGGGAGCATTGACACAGAACACATGGTCCGGAAAGTTCTCACAGCGCAGACGATCGGGCCAGGGAAACCCAGACCTGACCATGGCCGCTTCACAGCCGCGTCTGGCCCGGACACAGACCTCCCTACACGGAGGCACCGGCTCCTCCAGCACCGTACACACACAAAACACAGCATCCATCTCAAATCTTCAGAGCACTTTGTCTGCAAGAAACGGTCAAACTTCTGCATCTCCCTTTGTGCGTCTTCTTGAGTATCCTGACCCATCAAATTGGGCATGATTACTTTACACTACTGTGTATTCCACGTTTTTGCACTGAGGGATGGTGAGAAGCTGGCATGTGGATCCGGAAGAAGGATCTGAATCCGCTGGTTGTGCAGAGAGAAGAGAAAGCAAGGTGAAGGCGAGCTGGAAATGCATCTTTTCCTTGTCGCTAATGGAGAAACGTAGAAAACACAACACACACCGATCTTGTTTTGCCCTTACACAACTGGCTTTGTCACTGATCAAACTCCAATTGTCTGTTTGTTCAATCAATTACTTCAATAGACATACACAACAACACAATCAACTCAAGTATACTGTTCAAAAATAGACAATTTAATAATAATGATAATATTAATAATCATAATAGTACATTTTTCTTTGTATGGGAAGCTACACGCAGAACACTCTGAAGCATCAAAGCCTCCAATCAACACCATCCAGTCACTCTCTCATTTACATTCATACCTATTAAGCATGTTCTTCGGGAAACCGGAGCACCCAGAGGAAACCTACGCAGACGGGGAGAACATGCACTCAGAAAGGCCCTGTTCCGACCAATTTTAAACCTATAGGACCTTCTTGCTGAAAAGTGTAGAGTGCTATCCCCACAGCCACCGTGCCACTCAAGTACAAGCATTCACATGTTTCAGTTTTCTCCCATCAGCACTTCTTGAAACCTGCAGAGGAGTCCCATACATATTGGGCAGAGAGTGGGGTGAGTGGGGGTCGGAGGGGCAGGTGTGGGCCGGTTCATGCAGGTCCCTTGGTCCGGAAAGCCCTCACAGCGCAGACTACTGGGCCACTGAAACCCAGCCGTGTTGATGACAGGTTCACAGCTGCTTCTGGCCCGGTCACACACCTCCTTACAGGGAAACACCGGCTCCTTCTGCACATTACACACAGGCGCATACACAAAGCACAGGAGCCATTTGAAATCCTCAGAGCAGTTTGCTTGGAAGAATCGGTGAAACTTCTGCATCTCCCGGGCTGCGTGCTCTTGAGTGTTTTGTCCCATGTGATTAGGCAGCAGCACGTTTCTGAATCCAAGATCCTGGCACTGACGGATCAGGAGATACTCGCATTTGTGTTCGATGACAGGAGTTGAATCTCCTGTTTGTGCAGAGAGAAGGGGCAGCAGGATGAGGGCGAGCTGGAAATCCATCTTTTCCTTGTCACAGATGGACAAATGCAGCACACACAGCTTCAGTTCAATCTTGTCTTGCTTTTATACAAATACGTTTGTTGCTGATCAAACTCCACTCTTTTGCTTGTTCAATCAATTGCGTAAATGTATACTAAGCCCCGGTGATCCAATATGGCGCCCTACTCAAACGAATGGCTTGTGCTCAGTAGCGCATGGGACTTCACGGAGACCGGGAGATTAGCAGAATTCGCCTTTATTTGGGGGTCAACACTAGATCATATACGGAATCGGGACGGAAGCGGAAGTAAAAATAACAAACTACCTATTCATGCCTAAACTTAACCAGCCATTCCCATAAAATAACTCCAACCCAGCCTTAACCCTAAACTTAACCAGTCACCATTTAAGGACAAATTAGTCTAAAATTAATTTGAAAGTAGGATTGTTACTTCCGGTTTTGTCCCGATTCCGTATATGATCTAGTGCCGACTGTCACTCCCGTATTCGTCCCGGAAACCGGATTCGTCCGGAAGTTCAGTTTGCGCATGTCAAAAAGTTTAATATGTCCTTAAGTGGAGACTGGTTAAGTTTAGGCGTCTGATTAAGATGGTTAAGTTTAGGGTTAAGGCTGGGTTTGGGTTATTTTATGGGAATGGCTGGTTAAGTTTAGGCATGAATAGGTAGTTTTGTATATTTACTGCCGCTTCCGTCCAGATTCCGTGACGTAATCTACTGCTGCGGTTGCTCATTGGATCAAACTGAACTTCTGGACGAATCCGGTTTCCGGGACGAATACGGGAGTGACACCGACCTTTATTTGGGCATCGTCTGGTCCTCTTGGTTCTGCGCAGTGGACGAGCTCCCATGATGCGCTGCGCCAAACGTGCAAGTGTGGCTTTCATGCACGCGCACTGAGGGGCTCGGCCGCGCTCTGACCAATCAGAGCTGCTGAACAGAGCAGCAGGATTCAGAGCGGGAAGGAGCAGAGTTTGTGGCAGTAAAGTGTGGATTTAAAAAAAACAGAAGGATTTAAGAAGAAAAAAAGTTCAGGATGACAAGGAACACTAAAATCCCCACAAAATCTGATATTTCTGAAAGCTGTAGGTTCTCTGTCAGGTTCTCTGTCAGCTAGGGTCGAGCTGTTTTAATTTACATTGAGTTCTATGGGACTTTTTTCTGGGGAGCCCGCGTGAATTAAGTCTGCAGTACCACGGGCGCCCCCTGTGCCCGTGGGTGGGACAGCTGTAAGATAGTAATACCCTAGCCAGTTATTATTATAGATCCATGATGTATACACACAGGTTAGACTTACGGGAAGAGCAACTAAATGGATCCATCCGGCTTGTGTGTTATTGGGTGTTGAGTCACATTTACTAGGGCACGGGTACAATTGTGTAATCAAAATCCTTGTACTGACGAATTGTGAGAGGTTCAAGTATTTACATGTGTAATAATTCATTTTATTACAGCTTCAATCAACCTGTATTTGTACAGCGCTTTATTCACAAGGTAACACAAGGAAGAGTTGCTTTATTCTCTGAGCCACAGGAAGCCAGTGCAGAGACCTGAGAACTGGACTAATGTGATTGTACTTCCTGGTTCTAGTCAGGACTCGAGCTGCAGCGTATTGGACATTCTGCAGCTGTTATACAGAATTGGAGTCAAACCTTCTGAACACAAAAGCATGGATAAGAATCTCCAAGTCTGCTTTAGACACTAAACAGTATTTTAATTTTGGAAATGTTTTTTAGATGGTACAAAGTTTCCAATTTAAGTCCAGTTTGACCTGAATCTGACCTGATTTGAAGGTAGAGAGACTGTAGGTGATGGATGACGCTCTCTCTCTGATTCTGGGGATCAAAGACAAAAAATTCAGTTTTGTCTGAGTTTAGCTGATGGAGGTTGTTTTGCATCCACTCACTGATCTTTTGGATGCAGCGAAGGAGGGTAGGCCTGCACAGTTTGTATAATGTGGTTTTACTGCAAAGGGAAAATGAATTATGTATAGATGTATAGAAGTATAGATGTAACCTGGATCATGGCATTTTTATTTCAAGCATTTCAATCCAAATGAAATGTCTGTTTTTCAGGTAAAAACATGGTCTCCAGGTCGCCTCCCCTTCTGCTTCAAAGATCTAACTAAAGTAGAAGAATGTATTTCCTGTGTTTGCAATGAGTATCCCTCTCTCCATGCAGCCAGATGTAGGAGTATTTTATTATCATTTTCATAGTTTGACAGATTCATATGGTATGAATCTGTCAAACTACTTCCTGGCACTGAGGGATTGTGAGAGGCCAACATGTAAAGCATGTTTTTCTCTGATCAACCTCCACTCTTGTGTTTGTTCAATCAATTACTTCCATGTACATACACCTAGCTAGACTTACGGAAAGTGCAAGTGTAAACAGATGGATCAATCCACCTTGATGTCCTTCTGCTAATTAATTTCCCCCTGATATTAGCACTCGGGACATTTACATCACACCTCAACCTAAATTGGCTATTATACTGTAATATTTTAGATTATACGAGATCATATTGTTCCTTATTTTGTGTGATTTTTAAATTCTATTGTAAGGCATCCTTTTGGTGTCTTAAAAGGCACCATTGATTGATTGATTATTATCATTAATTCACAACAGCAGTGGTCTTGGAGGACAAGAGAATAAAACAATTTGCACACAGGAGAATTAATAATAACAAATAGAAACATTGGTCCATAGGGAGCGAGATGACACAACTCCATAAATGTTGACAATGTTGCAGATGCTTGTTGAAAAGATGCTTGTTGAAAAGCAAGCATCTGCAAGAGGATTATTTTCACCAAGACTAATTTATTTTGAAAGTAATACTGTCTTGTTTTGAAGCTCTTATCTATTTCCGGTTGGCCACATCTTCGTCTTCATGCACTCATTTTAACTTAACACGGCTGGAAAACGTAACCACGGTGATCACTTTAATCACGAGAGTAGATCTGGCGTGTCGACTGAACATTTTTGCGAATTAAAATATCTATTGGCCCTCTCTGACGCGACTGTCGGACGTGGACTAGCGAGCCTTTTCATGTAGCACTACGTCATGCTAAGTGGCTAACGCGGGATGCTAAGTGGCTAAGATGCTAACAGCGGAGATCAGAGGCGGCTGCTGCTGTTGTTTACATCCGACCATGGTGGGCCTGTCCGGGTGGGTGTGTTAGTCAGACCCCCGCCCGTGGTTTAGAGGCACAGCTGGAAGTCCTGACTGCAGCTTTAGGGGGGAAACATCCGAAAGCTACTGAATATTTTGGGGTAAGACTCGGAACTTTTGCATGTCTGTCTGTGTGACATCTTCTTTACAGGTGTCTGCCAGGTGGATTCATCAAGAGCTTATTATTTGTCGCAAACTGTAAGAATATTTTTCATACAGCATGATTTGAGTGACTTTTGCTGCTGTCATGTTGCATTAGCGTTATACTTAATAATTATATGTGTCTGTAATAACACCTGAGGGAGTTCTGTCATCGCAGTAACTGTAACTGTCACTTACAGCCTGGTTCAGTTAAACACATAGTGATCATTATCTATACAGCTATGATAGACATTAGTCTGTGTACATAGACCTGTAATAAGGGATAACTAACATTTGTCTAGCCCTTCATGTCATTTATTCTTTTCTATTCACTTGGAAACTGCTTGAGTTAATAAAAAAAAAAAAAAAACATTTATATACAAGGAACAGCTTCATATAAAAGTTAAGTTATAATACAGTTAACTTCCACAAAGTTCAACAACAAATAAATGCTTCCTCCAATGTCAACTATTACTGTAACATGTCACAGTATTGACCTGTTGAAGTCTCAAGCTTATAATGTCTTTGCAATTTCATTGTTTATATTAGTGACAGTTTTAAGCATATCCACACTGAAATATCCCCACTATGAGACCAATATTTGATTAATTGATATTTTACGGAAAGATCATTTAATGAGAGATTAACCAGTTGAGGTGGCAAGGGCATAAATTTGATCTTATCTTGTGTAGAATTAAAGTAATTAATTAATGAATCCCTGCCCATTATGTCCCACATTTCCCTGTGATTGGTAGCTCTAGTCTAAATGACTAAATCCACAGGTCTTTCAGAGCCAGACTGACAAATCAGCACGGAGTGTCTGTTTCAAGCTGTTGATCAGTTATGAATAGATCAAGTCAAGAATCCTGATCTCTTTGTCACATATTATTTCCCCGGCTGTACAGATATAACTTTGTCCTGTGTTGCAGTGATGGATGTGACCTCCCGGGGGCTGCTTCCTCGGCTCATGGACCTGTCGAAGGGCTTCTCTTTGGGACGTCGGCCCCACAGCCACACTCAGCCACTGGACATGACCAAGAAACCTGAATGGTACCGACGCCAGCCCCAAAACTGCGGCCCAGAGCTGTCCTCTCCGTACAGGACCAGGTCTCAACAGATGTACGTGATCTATTCCCCTGGCTTTGTCAAAGTTATGCCAATTTTTCCTTCTTATAAACTTCTTCAAAGTTTGTATACACTGACTGTGCAGATAACTTAACGTCAAAGTTTTGGTAGAGTAATATAATACTGTGTATTATAAGTTATTCAACTAGAAACTTGCCCAAACTAAGGCTCCCGGGCTCAATGCGGCCCACTTTGTCATTGTATGTGGCCCCCAGCCTTGCTAACACAAACTAGCCATTGAGACACATTTCTAGTGTTATCCAGCCATCTTCTGCTCCTCCAATTCAGTCATGTTGTAAAGCTCAGATTCTCTGCATACAATAAAAGCAGTTTTAGAATCTATGTTGTCAGCCCCTGGACAAAGTCTGGTGAACCAAAGTGGTTCTTACTAACCTGCTATATACTTGCTTATCTGAGTATGAATGTGAATGTGTTTGTGATATTTTTATTCATTGATGGTGCCAAAAACATGTCGTTTTTATAACATCTGCAATGAGTCCTTGCTTTTTCCCCCCAGCTAGCCCTGTGATGTAGGCCCCAAAATGGTGTCTATCACTCGATTATCAAGTGTTTTCGACAAGTATTTTTCACATTTGTTTGTGTTCTCCTCCAGCTCTCTGCGGCCAGACTTGACCCAAGACAGAGCAAACTTCATGAGCTCTCCTCTCGCTCCTGGTCTGGATCTGTATCGCGATCAAGTCCGCAACAACTTATGGCATCCGGGATTTTACGAAGCCAGAGGTGACGCAGGCCCCGAGAGCAGTGGCGTTGAGGAGGAAGAAGAAGAAGAAGAAGAAGACAGCGACAGTGACTCTGACATTATTTTACTAGTGACTTCTGCTAAAGAGCCTCTCCTATGCACAACCTTTATACCGGACAATGTAACGCATATGGTAGAGCCGCTGTCCCCGTCCTCGTTGGACACGGGGAGAGGCTGCTACGACGATCTACCTCAAACCTCCCCGAGTCGCGACAGCTCCTACACAGACGAATCCTCGGAGAGTTCAGTGGACATCCCCATCCACCACGCTCAGCCCATCGTCCTGCTGTCCGACCTGGGCGCGGTCTACGCCCAGCCGTTGCCGGCAGAAGCTTCCAGCGACGACAGCGACGTCATCGAAGTCCGCCAAAGCAAGAAGAAACTGTGCAAGAGGATGAGTCAAAGAGAAACGGAAGCCAGAGCGAAATTACGCACCAGCTGTAGAGTCAATCGAATGTCTTCTAGCAACACGCCATCGCAGACCACACGCAGCAGCTTGAAACGCCAGGTCAAACTTAACGCTGTGGGTCTTTACAATGAGATTTACGATTCCGATGACGTGCTGGACATTCTAGGGACATTTTCCAGTTCTGATGAATCCGTGCCAAGACAAAGAATGAGCAGTAGAGCGCAGAAGTCGAACGCAGAGACGAAGAAAACGCAAGAGAAATCTCCGTCTATGTCACCGCAAAGGGAGCAGCCGACGCAATGCAAAGCCGCTGACGCAGAATGTAAAAGGAGTAATAGGCAGAAAAATGCGCCTTTGATTGCTAAAGAGACTTGTGATGTAGAGCAAAACTGCAAAGAACCGAGACAGGAAGAGGAAGCAAAAAGGACAGTCAAAAAGCGCAAGCGAAAACGAAAGTTCAAACAAAACAGCTCGTCGTCTTTGTTTACTATCGAACCTGAAATTGCGCTGAAATACGCTTACAGGAAGAAAAGGGAGCGCAAAATTGATAGTTTTTCCCCGTTCGTGCGCATAGAGGAGCAGTCATGCACCGTGGTCAACTATCGCGAGGAGGAGGCGGTCGAGAAGAGGCCTAACACTTCGGGATTCATACCCATGACCTCCTGCTACAACCTGGGCCGCGTTCAGCTAGAGGCAAAGCAGGTGGAGTATCTGCGCTGCTGTTTGTGCGGGCAGACGGCCAACGCCAAGACGCTAGGGGATCTCCACGGACCGTACTACCCCGACTTTACTGAGATCTACAAGGCCAGGACGCAGCAGGATGTAGAGAACCACCACACAGCGCAAGAAGAGGTTCAGAGTAAGAGCCCGAAGCGAGAGGAGGAGCTAGCAAACGAAGCTCTTGATTTGGAGGAGTGCTGGATGCATTCGGACTGTGGCGTGTGGTCGAACGGCATTTTTCTGGTCCGAGGGAAGTTGTACGGGCTGAAAGAAGCGGCACAACTCGCGCAACAGACGGTAAAGTAAAAACATATCTATTTCAATGTTTTGGTCATGTTGGCAGTTGGTTTCTGTGGTCTCTTAAGTGGTTTATACTGTAATCTAGGCGTTTATAAACTTTATATTCTGATATGCCATTGCTTTCCTGATATGCCATTGCTTTCCACTCTCACCAAGACACTGCGTCTTTTCTGAATCTGATTCAGCGAAGGCATTTTTGCTCAAAGGTAGATAATGTTGTTAAATAACTAAGGTGAAGCGTGAATACATAATGTTGGACGTTGGACCTTTTTTGTGTTTTGTTTGGAAAATGTTCGGATATTTTTTACAACATGGTTTTGAGGTTTTAGTTTCGAGAAAATTCAGTAGTGATGCAATCGCAATGCTATCGTTACTTTGATTAGGTTTGGAATATTTGGGTATAATCAGCAAAGCATTGTTTATAGAAGATAGTTTACTTTTATTTTTAGATCAAAATATCAGTCACAAGGATCTATGGTGACTGATATTTTGATACATGACTCAGATACTAGAAGCCTTTCCTACACAAGGCAACGCAAAGTGCCTCACAACCGTTATTATAGATCCATGCTCACAACATATTACATCATGCATAAATCATGAACATTAGAATCTACATAAACATTAAACAATAAATAAATAAAAACACATTAAGAGCACAAGATATATTAAAAACATAAAAAATAAAATCACACAAGTAGTTAACCTTAAAACATTAAAATCACACATGGGATTAAAATGAATAAATAGCCATAGTGCATAAAAGGATTAAAAATAAAAGATAAAATCGTTCAGTTGTATGCACAGCTAAACAGAACTGTTTTCAGCCTAGATTTGAAAACTGCCAGAGTAGACGCCTGTCTCACATTCTCAGGAAGACTGTTCCAGACTCTAGCTGCATGAATCTGAAACGCAGCCTCCCCATGTCTAGTTCTGACTCTTGGCACCTGCAGAAGTCAAAGTTAAATATTTATTGTAGCCAGGTTTCATGTCATGTGATGCCTTCTCATCTCTCCACTACCACTCCCTGATTTAACAAAGATTTAGTGCAAAAACACATAGTTAGTTTTGTCATTTATTATTCAAGTGGTGGAAACGTGACGACAGCAGTGTGCAATGAGACTGTGGTCCTATTCTGGTAATGCTGTGTTATGGCCACTTGGGGGTGCTACACTCCTTGTTTTGTATTCAGAGGAGAATCAACCAGTTTCAAGGGCAATGATGAATATGTTTACATTAAACAAATTCCAGTTCCACTACTATATGCACTGTAGACTTTGTAGCTAGTGATAATAGTTTAAACAGTAACAGTAATTTGGATAAACATTTCAAAGGATTTTATTTCAGAATTATATGTTAGAGCATTCAAATTACTTTGTTTTTTTAGACACTATTTTCTTTAGGAGTAATGATTGTCGTCCATGCCGCGAGGGTGCGCACATTATAAATCAGACGTGACCAGTTGGAGCAGCTGGGTCCACATCTGGTTGAGGATTACTCCACACATCTGCCCTTTCGTTCTAATCTTTTAATTCAATTAATTTTCCTGATAAAATTGTTCCAGTCTGTTGTTCCCTCTGGCATTCACATTCTTCAAATGTATGTTAGAATTTCAATGGAAGACAAAGTTTTTACCAAGAAAGTTGAAAGCATTTCAGACATTCACAAACATGCTCTATTATTTATTTGGTTTCATGGAGTCGAGAAAAAAATCCGAAAACATTGACAAACGTAGTTTCCTGAATGCTTCTTAGTGCTTATAGCCAATACTCAGCACTTGTCTCTAAATGGACTTTTTGACTTAAGAGTAGGAAATTGACAAGAGACAGGGCAAAAACACATATTTTAGGTTTTGCAGCAGACCCCGGTGGAGGTTTGTGCTCATCCAGTGCCTTTCTACTTCATTCAGTACATTGGAAATCTCTATTTATTCAAAGACTGCACACATCCAGACGCAGTCCTGTCATAATGCGCAGTACGAGTGGAAGGCTCGTCTCATCAACGACCCGGTCCACTGCAGATCACGTTAGCAATCTGCAGATGTTTGGGTTTTTTCCCCTTCAAGGAAAAGTGCTTGTGCAGCGTTGGGGAAATCATCCTTGTATGATAGATTCCAAGAAGGAAATCTGCAAACATATGTGATTTAAAATAGTGAGTGTGTGGTGGTTAGAGAAGTCCTGCACAGGGAGCAATGGTGTCTCAGTTACACGGTGCACTGAAACAAATTAGTCATTTTATTTATTAATTCATTTGAAACCAGTGTACACAATCAACATGTGAACCACTACAACATTTATAGCCAAAGCTAAACTAACCTCAATTAATCGATCGTTGAAGACGTTGTCAACCATTTTAGTTATCCATTAATGTTTTTTTCAACCTGCACGGATTTAAAATACTGTAGAAACGCTCGATGGCTCAAAGAAGAGGGAGAATTACTGCAGAAGGAAATGAAGGCAGGGCAAGTTTATTTGTACCGGACCCCCTCGAAAAAGAGATGATTCATCTCAAGGGGCCATCCACAATAAATAAATTTGTATAACTCAGTTCATACGCAAGGCAACTCAAAGTGTTTAAATAAAACATGGTATAAACAGTCTTACCAGGCATTAAAATCATAAAGAATCAAAAAGAGGGAAGATTCAAGCCTTCAGTTGTCTGCAGTTACACAGAACTGGTTTTAATCTGGATTTGAACATTGTCAGAGAAGAAGCTTCTTTCACATTTTCAGGAAAACTGCTCCAGAAAACAATTTTGCTAAAACTCAATGAACATTTTATGGCTATGACGACCCCAGTCTTGTCTGGTTTGTGTGTTGCTGCTGGCTTTCTCCTCCTTTCAGGATCCAGCCAATGGGAGAGCTGATTGGAACTGGCAGCACCTGAGATGGGTGGGACCGGCCACATTCTAAAGTGCTATCAGGAAGTCAATGGAGCTCTCTCTCTCACCTGGCATTAGCAGCCTTTTCAATTAATATTCTATTTTTGTATCTTTTGAAACATGTGTGGTCTCCTTTTTGGTTCGAACCTCGAGCCAGTTATGATTTAAGCAACTAATCAATTCATCAAAAGTAACATTGAGCCAAAAGAAAAGCTTATTACTCTAAAACAGTATAGGGTGCTTAAATGACACGAAAGCAATGCCACGGTAAACAGCTGTAAAAAAAAAAAAAGTCAGTTTTGCATGTTCTCTTCTCTCTAATAGCAACACTAATGCTAATGTTATTTGTGACTCATTGTAAAGGCAGCGTTGTGTTGTTCCTGCAGACGTGCTGGTCGTGTCATCAGAGCGGAGCCATTGTGGGCTGCTTCCAGAAAGGCTGCTCCAGAACCTTCCACGTGACCTGCGCCGTTCAGTCAGGTACGGTGACTCAGGTTCCGCCGCCGTCCGTCCGTCCGCTTCACGGCGTGTCCCTGCGCCGGCGTCTGGTCTAATCTGGTCCGGGTTTAGTCAGATTCTCACCAGAGACCGGCGCCGGGGCTGAAGCCGGAACAAGCTCTGAGTCAATGCTCCTGTGGATTCTGCTTTTCATCTTCTGCATGAGTTCTGAAGCGAAACACACATTATGCATTATTCACTCATCTCTGCTTCATCTTCAGAATGTTTACGTAGCTTTGGCATTTACTGTTTACAGAAACCAAGCCCGTCCAGTGCTAGATGTGAGAAAGTGATGTTTTGCTTTTGTGAAAATCATTTAATATGGCATGATCTAATTCAGGCATGTCAGACTCAGGCCCGTTTCTAGTGATGGATTTTGATTTATTATAATTGACTTATAAATAACTAAACGGGCTACTATGGTGTTGTACATACTTTTAAAGCAAATTTTCTCAACTAATCTTATTCAACATAAACTAAATATTTAACCCAACCCATTAGCAGTTATATAGTTAGACTTTTGGAGGTGGAATGATGAGCTCGGGATCTGTTGGGGATTATGTTGAAGGCAAACATGTTTTAAAAATGTAGCTTTTAGACAGAATATGATAATCTATAAAACTCAGAAGAATGGTTCAGTCGCTCTTTTTCCTCTGAGTCTGTTCTTAATGAGAGACCAATGTTGTAACTTGGTTTAACTCAAAACAGAAAATGCTCTGGCTCATTCTAAGCAAAAATAGTGTTTCCACTTCATTATGTCTTTCACTGGTTCTGGCCTCACATTCACTGCATTAAATTTGGAAATAGAACTGTAAACCATAAACAATAAAACCAGAGTAAAATATCCATCCATCCATCCATTTTCTTCCCCTTAATCCATTTCTGGGTCGGGGGGATGGCAGTCAGAGCTGTACCCAGTACACTTAGCACCAGCCCCTCACTGATCCTCCTGCAGGTGGTGAGTCCACCGGAGCTGAGATCTTTCAGTGGGAGCTTCAGGCAAAGTGGGGTTAAGTATCTTGCCCAAGGACACGACAGCAGTCATCAGTAGGAGTCGTGAAGTAGGTCTTATGGTGGGCTTGAACCCACAACCTTCAGGCCCAAAGGCCAATGCTCTACCAACTGAGCTACTGTCGCCCCCAGAGAGTAAAATATGATATATTTATAATTATTTATCAAGATTAAAGCAATACTACTACTTTGTTAATACATACGTGGAGGTGTTTTATTCCATCCATTCATTTTGGTACAAACTCTGCTCTTCTTCTCTTCTCTCTGTAATCGATCTATGCTTTTCTGCCTTTTTAAACTTTTATCTTGTCTCCAGTCCAAGCACACGTTTTAAATATTTTTCTGCACCAGTATCTTTTTGTCATTCTTAGTGTTGTGATTTCAGGTTGCGTCTTAAATGAAGAAAACTTCTCCATGAGATGTTCGGACCACAAGGTAAGTGTCTTTTTTATAATAACTTTTCATCTTGTGTACGTTCCATTAATGCGATCTGAAATCATGTGTTTGTCTTCAGATCAAACCGTGTGTGAGCAGCAGACAGCCGCTGAGATGACCTCTCCGTCACCGCCACAGTGAGTCACAGGCGCTGTTTTAACGTGTTTAAGTTTTACTAGTGGATATAAACACATGTAGAAGAAACAGAGGCCCACAAACTGTTCAAGCGGCCGTAGTGTCTGCTGTTGGCTCCTCTGGGACCTCTGTGGTTTATTATTTAGTACAATATGCATCAAAAGTGTCATAACCCAGCTCAATAGAAATGACAGAAACACGCCAACCGTTTCCAATTGAAATAATATGTATTAATAACCAAATGTAATATTTTAATGAGGTGTGGAAGTCTGTAGTGAGTGCGTGCGAGTGTGTGTGCTGTGAGAGTATGAACCAAACCAGAGCAAACCATACAAAAAGGAGGCGGGACATGCAGGTGGCAGGACGGGAGCAGGATGAGCCAACAGGAATCTCTGGCATGTGCACGAGCTTTAAAGATGCAGCGCTGTCTGACACACACGCACCAATAAGCACCGCCTTCACATGAGAGGAGAGGCTACACGGCCCCATCAGCGGACGTAACAAAAGATTAAGCTAAAACATGTTATCTTCAGTCTATGCTCCGCCCCTTTGCACATCAGTTTCACATAAAAAAAAAAAACACTGTTTATTCTGTGTTTTATTTGTATATATGTGGACTGGTCCCGACTTGAGGTCTGCACCCCCTCCATTCTTAATTGTATATGGAATACCTTACACAAAAGAGACTTTTTAATATTAACGCACATTTCCTTTCTTTTGTACACCTTGAGTGATCTATTTATGCCAAATGTGACATTTAATTTCTCCATTGTGAGCTCAGTAAACTTTATCTTATAGCCGATCTTGGGAGTCTCCTCAGTCCTTCACAGCTCAGCCTCATTTCTCGTTCTACAGTCTGAGTCCTCACACACATCCCACACGTTTCTCACATTTTTCCCACTTTTTTTGTTTTTTTTTTTTGCCGATGCAGGAGGATCTAAGGACAGTGATGATCCGGGACATGTTTTAATATTTATGAGACAGCCAGTCCTTCTCTGTTTGGTCATTATTGCGATTACAAATGTCCTAAATATACTATTCTGGGCAGAAAATAAAGAGGAAAAGGTCCGAGGCACTCGAAAAAAAAAATCCTTGAGCCTAGACATACATTTTTGGACCTTTTCCTCTTTATTTCCCACAAATCCTTGAAGACCCTACTCATCGCTGTGTGCACCCACTCTTGTATTTATACAATTCTGGGTGTTAGCGACGACCACTATAGCAACAGATGCATTGGAGCGTGTCATAACAATGTTTTGTGTTGTGTGTTTTCAGACGGACCGGCTCAGGGCTCCTCCTCAGTGTTGCAGTTTTATAAGTTGGTATGAATGCTTCTGTCACGAGAGGCTGACGGCATCGAAGTCCGGTGACGTTTTCTACATTAGATTTGAACTTATGTGTTTTTACTGAACTGTTTGGTCACTTACAACACGTTGGAACAAGGCCCAGAGGTTTGGAATCACGCCCAGTTTGTCCGATGGCATAATAACATTTAAGACCAACCTTTAGCCTTAGCAAAAAAGAAATTGGTCAAATGAAAAATTAGGTATATTTTAAAGCAATTCCCAGATCAGATTCTTTTATTTGCCATTTGCAGTAAAACAATACATTTGCAAAAGTCCCCTGTGTGCACCAGATCAGTACATAATTAAAATTAGCTTAAAAAGTACAGTAATAAAACTAAAAAGGGGCAGATAAAAGACAATTTTACTTACTCTACATGTTCACTAACTCGTTTTCATTGAAGATTATCTGCATCTTGTCAAAGTGTGCAGTTATTGACCCAACAGTTCAGAGACTGGAAAAGCCTTTTTTTTTTTTTTTTTTTTTGTTTCTCTTGTATAATGCCTCATCACAGACTTTCCTATAACACTAACCACACAAAGAGCGCCATGACGCTGTACAGTTCGTAATCCTCCCGCTCTTTTGTGCTTTACACACTTTTTCTACCACTTTTATAGAGCATTCTTTCAGCCTGTGCCTCACACTCGGGGTTTCTGAGACAATCGCACGCATTCAGAAGTGAAACAAAAGCCGGTCTCCCATCGCTTAAAGTCCGTTGTTTGGTTTTAACGAGAGGTTTAAGTTGGAAAGAAATGTTGAATTATAGTTATAGCATCCAGAGCTTCACCCTAGCAAGGAGATGCGATTGCGCCACCTGCAAGTGAAAGCCAGATCCTGTCAGACCGCCCAAGCAGTGAAGGGCCCGGTCAGTTCTGTGATGGGAGACCTGTGGCGGTGCAGTGCCAAATGATTACGTGTCCTAAGGCAAGACTTTTCTCCCACATTGCCCAGAATGATGTTTTGTGTGTGTGTGTGTGTGTGTGTGTGTGTGTGGCTACTGGTTGCCTCGCTTCCGTCACTGTGCCCAGGGCAGATGCAGCTACAATTGTAGTTTATCAACACACTGTATGGAATGAAGGAATAATATCTTTGAGAGTCCAAGGAAGTGCTCTATACAAATCCATATTATTATTTGGTTTGCGATATATTTCTTTACAGTGTGCAAACTTCACATTTTCAATAACAGGGTATGAGCGACACACACACACACACACACAACTCTCATAACTCTCATTGACCCCAGTGTGAAGCACAAGTCGTCACGTTGCATGCACTTTACACCGTCTTCTTAATTCAGAAAAATACATTTGTTACTTAAAATGTACCTGCTCTTAATTTATACGTAATGAGATTTAATTTAATATATTTATGTACGACAGCTGAGAGAACTCCTCGCTGTTAAAGTGTTAATATATAGACACAGAAAGCCTGCTTCGGCCACAAGGATAAGTTTACTTTCTTTACTGAGTCGGTCACACGTTATTTCAACAAAGACATCAATGTGTTTTTATTTTGTTGAATGAATATTGCTGATTTAACTGAATCATTTATGTTGTAAGATCAGTCTAATCAGTGACACCAAGTCGATAATTTAACTTTCTGTGATACAATGTCTCAGTCACAAGATATTTGATGTAATTCATGTTTTTTTTTTAAATGGGACTTGACTTAAGGACGCATTTTTGGATTTACAAAGAAAGGTTTATTCTACTTTATTTATTGACTGTTAATTGTTCGGATGAAAATTAGTTGCTTTCTTTTTTTTGTTGTAAATGGTGACTTTGGTTGGTTCTTCAGTGATGGCCTCGTTCTCACTTCTTGGTCAAGTGGACTCGGTTCACTTCAGAAGAAAATGCAAAGTCCTCATAATGTAGTACTGATTATTTACATAGATATTTAGTTCAAACTTATATGTAATGCAACTTGAAACCATAAAAACAACATCATTAAAAAAAGAAAAGGTTGACGTAAACGTTATCTGGCCGAAACCCCTGTCACTCTTTGCACATGCGGACACGGACACCCGCACACGCACACACGTAGACGCACACACGAACATGCACACCTTCAGATAAGACATTCCTCCAGGTGCTCCTTCCCCCCACCCCCCTATAATAAAGTAAAGCAGTATTCTTTTACCACCGTGTATGGAGTGAAAGAAAACTGCTATTTCAAGCTGTCTTTGAGTGTCCAAAATACAGCTTTATGCAAAAAAACCAAGAAAAATAGCTATTTATTATTATTATTATTATTAGCCGTTCATATCATTTGAAAACTTTTGACACTTTTGGGCTGTTGCATTTTCCTCTAAAGTGAACCCGGTCCAGTCGATAAACCTGAACGCACCGTTATCTGGCTGAATTTTCAAGCCTAACATTTCAATTACCAGCACAGTGATTACATGTTTAAAACTAGGAACACATACAATGGGGCTCGAGGAGATTTGTACCATTTGAACTGCCAGTATTTGGATATTTTTACAATTTTTTTGTTTGAATTTTATTTTAGAACTGCTATAATTCAAGTTTGCCACATTCTCGTTGTGGTGATGCACATCTCATCCAAAAGTATCATTACAGAGAAACATGGTAAATCTATATTCTTGATTTGACTATTTCCTTTATTTTTTTGAACCCTTTTTATCCAATGTTGGTCACTAAACCACAATGAATCCCCAGCCCTGGTTCATTCCTACACACAACGGTCCTAATCCACCAACAAATCGCGTGTGTAATAACATTTTTCTCCTTAGGTCTGATTATTGATACACAGTTGCCAGGTGCATTCTTCCCCTTGTCTCATGTTTGTACTGTTTTTATTGTATCTCTGTGGAAAAAAATATATTGTGTTTGTAAAAAAAATAAAAAAGACGTTGCACTTTTTTTGCCCACACTTATCATAATTTGCCTAATCTAAGGTGACATTAAAATTAAGAACTGGGAAAAAACCGTGTTGTGTTGGTTCATCTATGGTGACTTTGTTTGAAAATTATGAAAACAATAAAAAAAAGCCCAGCATGGCGCAGCCGGGGCCCCACCCTGGAGCCCCACCCTGGAGCCAGGCCTGGGGTCGGGGCCCGAGCGAGCTTCTGGTGGCCGGGCCTTAGCCCACGGGGGCCGGCCGGGCTCAGCCCGAAAGGACGACGTGGGCAGTCCCTCCTGTGGGCCCACCACCCGCAGAGGGTCCGTGGCGGCTCGGTGCAGAGAGGACTGGGCAGCAGTCGACGGCGGCGACCCAGTCCGCACACCCAGCATCTGGCTCTTGGGACGTGGAACGTCACCTCACTGGGGGGGAAGGAGCCCGAGCTTGTGGGGGAGGTTGAGCGATACCGACTAGAGATAGTCGGCCTCACCTCCACACACAGCTTGGGCTCTGGAACCCAACTCCTTGAGAGGGGTTGGACGCTCCACTTTTCTGGTGTTTCTCGCGGGGAGAGGCGGCGAGCTGAGGTGGCCAAACTCATTGCCCCCCATCTCAGCCGCCACGTGTTGGAGTTCTCCCCGGTGAATGAGAGGGTCGCGTCCTTCCGCTTTCGGGTGGGGGACAAGTCTCTCACTGTTGTGACGGCCTACGGGCCTAACAGCAGTGCAGAGTACTCGGCCTTCTTGGAGTCCTTGGGAGGGGTACTGGACAGTGCAC